GAGGCTTTAAAGAGAACCAAAGCTGGAAAGTCTGTAGGACCTGATGATATCCCAATTGAAATATGGAAATATTTAAGAGATTTGGGAGTTTCTTAGCTTACTAAACTCTTTAATATTGTTTTAAAAACTAAAAAGATGTCTGAGGAGTGGAGGAAGAGTATTTTGGTCCCAATCTTTAAGAATAAAGTGGATGCACAAGAGTGTGTCAATTATAGAGGAATTAAGTTGATGTGTCATACTTTAAAATTATGGGAGAGGGTAATTGAATATAGGTTAAGACGCATTACAAAAAATTCTCATAATCAATTTGGATTTATGACGAACAGGTCTACTATGGAAGCTATACATTTATTGAGAGGTTTGAAGGAGAAGTTAAGAGATAATAATGAGGATCTACATATGATTTTTATTGATTTAGAAAAAAACTTATGATAAGGTTCTAAGAGATTCTTGGGAGAGTATTCTTTGGAGAGTTCTTTAGAAAAAAAGGTGTTGATATGACTTATATTTAAGTCATTAAAAATATGTATACAAGAACTGATACTTGTGTTCGAACAAAAGGAGGATTGACCAAATATTTTCCTATTTTTTTTGTTTTACATCAGAGATCAACTTTAAGCCCATGTCTTTTTGCTTTAGTTATGGATGGTCTTACTGGACACTTACAAGAGGATGTACCTTCTCGTGGATAAGACGAGAGAAAAAGCTCAGAAAAAGCTTGAATTATGGAGGTGTACCTTGGAGTCTGAAGTCCTTTGTTTTGAGTAGAACTAAAACTGAATACATGGAATGTAATTTTAGTAGTAGTAGCTCTAGTGACAGAAATGTAACTATGGGTGATCAAATTATTAAAAGGTGTGGATGCTTTTGATATCTCAGGTCTATTGTTCAAAGTGATGGTGATATTGATGGGGATGTTATTAGTAGAATTCAAGTTGGTTGAAGTGGAGGAATGCTTCGGGCCTATTGTGTGATAGCAAAGTACCACTTAGATTGAAAGGAAAATTTTATAAGATGGTGGTGAGACCTGCAATGCTCTATAGCGTTGAATGTTGGCTTTTAAAAGAGTTTTAAAAGAGAAGCATAAAGTTAAGTGTTGTCGAGATGAGAATGATTAGGTGGATGAGTGGCTTTACACTTAGAGACTAAATGCAAAATGAATATATCTGTGATAGGGTTGATGTAGCTACAATGACGGAAAAAATTAGAGAGAGTCGTCTTAGATGGTTTGGTCACATTAAACGTCGACCATTTGATGATCCAATTAGCAGAATAATTGTTTTAGATTCGACTTATGTTAAAAAATACAGAGGTAAAAATAGGATGACTTGGTCATTTTGTATAAAAAATGATCTTAATTTGTTAGAATTAAATGAAAATATGCACTAAATAGGTTGCAATGGAAAAAAAAGATTCATGTAGCCGACCCCACTTAGGGCCCGTTTGGGGCAGTTTATTTGGTGCGGTGGCGTTTTAGTGATAACTAAATTTTTTGTTTTTTCCATTGTGTTGGGAGCAGTGAGTTTAGATTTGGTTAAGTTTCTACGTTAAATGTTCACAAATTTCTTGAAATAGATATCTATCAACTTCAAAAATGATTTTGATGACAATCGTTATCTAGCCATACACAATTTGTTATGAATAGTTTCAAAATCTTTGCTATGATGTTTGACAAATGCCGGTTGTGCATTTCTGCTCATGTTATTCAACTGTTTTTAAATGTCATTTTATATTACATACCCTGTTTTATATTTCAAATTATGATCTATTGATAACTGCGGTGAACCTGCTCTCTTCCAACAATTTCCTTGCTTCTAACATGCGTATTAAATTCTAAAGCTGTATTTCATTTACTTATGCTCTTATTTCATATTTTTTAGCATTTTTATATTTCATATAAAACGTAATGATGGGCCTCAGAACCACTTGGCCTAATCTAGTATCTGTCACGGGATCTAGCAAGCTTATCTTGACGAATTGGCGTCTATAATATGTTAGGCTGGACTTTTCTCTTGCAAAAATGTTTTATCTGATATAACAAACACCTGATGCATATATTGACTTTGACAATATTGCATTTACATTCACAAAAATATTGCATTTATTGTCATACCTACAAACAAAAAAGTGATTTCAGAATCACTTATAAGTTTAGGTATGATATTTCTTGTTCATATTGCTAGTTATTGTTGTGCACCAAGTGAAGCATTACCCATTAATTGGTGAAGTAGCATTTGTCACTTAAGTTTTTAACAGAAATTCACACCATATGCGGCTAGATCCTTTCTTAATGTGCACATGTATTGTTAGCGGCATTTAAAATGACCAAAATGCTCTTCATTTATAGGTGTGAAGATGCCATCACAGTTGGCACTTAGGATTTCATCCTTGCAGGTCTCATAGAGTATTTGTGAAATTAGGTTTCTCAATCGACCCAACCTGGGTGTCTTTCGTTGTAGTAGCTGAGGTTACAATCAAATAGTTTGGCAGGTGCAATTTTTATGACAAAAGTAGCCTAGAGGATTGATATGAAGCTGCTTTCTAATCTTCTGAAGATATTGGAGGGTGACTCGGGAGTTTGAAAAATTGAGAGATTTACACTTATTATTTGCATTTTATGTAAAAAATGAGAGGCATGCTGCTTTCTGATCTACTAAAAATTTAGTAGGGTGACTTGAGATTTTGAAAAATTGAGGGATTCACACTTTTTGTAAAAATTGAGAGCTTCTTTTCCAGCATAATTTCTCTGAAGTATTTTTGTCACAATTCATAAGCTTGTTTCTCTTAATTTGTATTATGAAAAAAATGCTTTATCTTTTATGATTTGTAATGATTATGAAAAATTTAAAAGTCCGAGAACGAGGCTATAAGCAATATGCCTTTAATTTTTTATGATTTATATGCTAGGCTAGGTATTAAAGAAAGGGAAAATAATATATATAAAATTACTCAGGTAAGAGATATGAGCCCTAAATATTTTGTGGGGTTTAGATGTATTTGAAGGTAAAATAATAAGATTTAAAGATGAAGAAATCTAGGAAATGGAAATGCTGCTTAGAGAAGTTTGTTAAATGGAAAATTTAAGCGAGAAGTCATTTTGGAAAAACTCATTATAGTATAATCATTATAAAATGATCCAAAAATGAAGTGAAGTTAGCTTTGAAGGAGATGTGTCAAAATAAAATTTTAGGGCTATATGAAATATGCAATTGGATTTGAAGAATTACCGGTGATATTACAGTGGTTTGGTTAGACTGAACCATTATTTTTTTTTTTAAGCCAAGAGAAAGCCAAATGATTGGAGAAGAAGTATTTTGATATTAGTATTTAAAAATTAAGGAACATTCATGTAATTATTGAGGAATTAAACTTTGAAGTTATACCATGACATTATGGGAGGAAATAATGAAAAATATGCACAGAAATTTATGTCAGCAATGAATAATCAATTTGGCCTTTTATCGTCATAGTTGAAGCATTTTTTAAGAGAATTAAAGAAAAATATAGAGCAAAAAGTAATCCTTATATGACATTCATTGACGACATTCATTGATCTTGAGAAGAAATGTTATCAAGAACCATGAGAATTGATTTGGTAGATGTTAAAAATGTGTAAATCAAAGAAGTTGATATTATTTAAGATATGTATGATACAATCTTGGTTAACATTAGTAGCAATTGTAAGATGATTGAAGAAGTTTCAATTATAGTAAAATAGTATTGATAATTAATATTAAGTTTGCATCTTCTTGTATTAATTATGAAGATGCATAGAAAGGATGTTCAAAGTTAGTTGATTTGTGCTAATTTGATGACTTAGTTCTAATTGATAAGGCATCAAAATAAGTTAAATGATAAATTAGAAAAATAGATGAAGTGTTTAAAAGAGAAATAACAAAATATATGATATAGAATTTTAGTGAGTATTAATTGTTAACAAATATTGATTTATATTAATAGAACTAAGTGATATTTATTTTTAATTGGTTTAAATACCTTCGGCCTTACGTAAAAGTATGATATAGATATTGATATAATTTCTAATGTTAACATTGGTTAGTTAAAAATCAAGACTAATTTTGTGATTAGTATGAAATAAGAAATGTCACGGAACATAAAGGTAAATTTTCTAAAACAGCAATTAGACTGGCTATGTTGTATGGATTTTGGTATTATATTGTAAAAAAAAGTTTTTTTAGGGAAAAGTAAAAAAAAAAAAGAGAATTAAGATGAATGTGTGACAAACTAGAAAGTTTTGCTTAAGAAATATTTTATTAGAGGGATAATTAGAATATCATCCACTAAAGAAAAGATGGTGAAAAAATGACTCGACTAACTTAGTCATGTACATTGAATGATAGAAAGTGCACACACAAGGTTTGTAGATAAAATTAAGAGCAATTTGCATTTTGCAAGCAATCTATGAAAAAAAATAAATTGAAGGCCAATATTTTAGGCAATCCAATCAAAATGGGGTGTGTTGTGCACTTTCGTTTGTAGAGGATTCTTATTGGTACACCTAATTTAAGTGATGATGATATGCTAGTGTTTGTGTAGGTTTTCTTAAGGATTATAGTATTTCCAAAATAATGCTAATTGATTTGATTTGAAATAAAAAAAAAGTAGTCGATACAAAATCTCATGGATGAAAATTGAGCAAGTTTCTTGGTACATATAGGTTTTGTAACTTATGTAACAATTAATAAGATTAATGATGGATGAGGATTCATAAAACTAACTAAGAAGGGTTATGATGATGGAATCCTCTAATTAGTTATCAAAATCACATGTTTTTAGTTGGGATATGATTAGTCATTTTTGCAATACTTCAGAAGTTCATAAGGCAATTTTGACCCATATTTGAATATCATTTTCAACATTTGATTTGCTTTTCTGATAAATGTACTAATTGGTAACCTAAGTCTTCTGCTTATCTAAGATATGGTTTACTTCCTACAAGCAAATTATTGGCTTTCTTCTCTGACATTTGCATGTTGCAGTATACTCCAGCTATTGATATTTGGAGCATAGGATGCATATTTGCAGAAATGCTTACAGGAAAACCGCTATTTCCAGGGAAGAATGTGGTTCATCAATTGGATCTTATGACTGATTTTCTTGGCACCCCTCCTCCTGAATCCATTGCGAAGGTTGGTCATTCATTTATCTTCTCTCCAAGGAAAAAAATTGTTCTTATTTTTGTTTTTGCTCTTTTTGGTCTATGATAATCTCTTTTTCTTATATAGTTCTGATAGATCTAGCTCTTCCACTAAAATTTGCATCTATTAATTTCCTTTAAATTCTGGTACACCTTTTTGTACATGCTACACCCATATTCTGTTGCTCTAAACTTTATTCCACGAACAAGTCAGCAGGGATAAGAACAAATTAAAGCCTTGAATGTTTGAAGTACATTTTCTGACCTGAAACTAGTCGCTCAGCTAAACTTTAGGTTAATGAGATCATTTAGATGAAGCAATCACTGTCATCAGCAAATATTTTTAGGATCATATTAGTTTGGCTTTTTCTATTGACTACATAAACCAACATACCTAGAATGCTGGAAACATTCAAACGAAGAATATATAGTTGTTAAATGTGGCTGAAATCTCTAGATGATACTTAATGCTTTGCACTACTCTTTGAAAGCATTACATTCTGGCTATCATAGGGAGCATCTTTTCAAAGGCTATAATTATTCTACGCACCAACTCTTTTGCCGCACCATATCTTGGCCTTTTTTAAGTTCAAATATAGTGTTTGTTTCTAGAGATTTTGATATATCATTAACCTATGGTCAAAATTTTTGTCTCAAAATTATGAGCAAGAAATACCAAAGAATATATCTTTTGGAGCAACGCAGTCACTGCAAGTTCCTCTCTATGCCATCTGATTGGCAAATGCCTGAATTTGATGAATAGGCTGGCAATTGCGGACTAGTCAAGCGGCTCAAAAATATTGACTACAACTTCAACAAGATAGAATGAATAGAATGAAAATTGGTGGGGCTTGTTATGTGTATCATTGTGTTTGCTTATTTAGTTTATCAAACTATTTCTTGTGTGATAATAGTTTGATGATTTAACAAATGGGCCTAAAGAATGAAAAGTTAGATACTTCTTCAATTATCTTACCCAGAGTATTTGAGCCAACCTGAACTTAGTTATATACCATATTCACAAAGTAAGCAATCACACCTACATATGAACTAATTGACAATGAATTAATTTATTCTTTTTCTAACATGATTTCTCCTTCACAAGTACATATATAATTCTCAATTGTACTTCACTATTCATGTGCTTGCTCTCCCTTGACACAAGTCCTCGTGAAATCATTCTCATGTGAAGAAAATAAATAGTTAAGAGACCTTAGTAGCTGAAACCTGAATGAGTTGCCTATCTCCACATGCCTTACAGACTCTCATACACTCACTAGCTTTGTTCCATTAACTCTGAATAACACTCTAACTCCTTGCTTACCAACTCTCCATTCTCGCCCTCACTCGCACTCTCACCCTCTCTATGTTTGATGCCATTTTAGCCTTAGTTGTCCCTTATATATGTTCTAATTAATACAAGTAATATAGTTTTGTAGTATGTAATATATAAGTATTAGTTAGAACATATTGTTTAATTATTTTGTTGTAACATAAAATCTACTTATACAAATTCACCTAACACATAATTTATTCTCTTAAAATTGTATTAGCCTGTATTAATTAAACCAATTCATCTTGATGTAGTGATTAAATGGTTCATCGATTAATAAATTTATTTAGTGTTAATCTTCTTAATTAGGCCACATGGATAGCTAAACAACTCATTGGGTCCTTACAATCCCCGATTTTTATATAAAAAAATCACATTCAAAATTTAGTAACCTAAAAATGTGCTTTTTTGTGCTTATCATAGCTTAAAAACGAATAGATTAGCATTTATGGATCTATTTTTGTTTAAATTAGGATTTTGAATGACTTGTCCATTTTAGAAATTGGGTTTAAATTTGAATTAGTTTGGGTAAGGTTAAATTTGATTTCAGAATTGATCTTATATTGTAATCCTATTTCTTGGTTAAAGGAGTAAATAAATAAGGGAGTTATGTCTGGTATTTTAGAATTACTGAATTGAATAAAGATATTTGAGTTTACTCATCCTCCATGTCTGGTATTTTAGAATTAATGAATTGAATAAAGATATTTGAGTTTACTCATCCTCGCTTCTCTCTTTGGTTCATTTTCTTCCTAATTGTCTATGGTGTCTATCTTTCTCTCCCGCTTTTCTATTTTTCATCGCAAGTCCCTCTTTTAAGTGCTCATTTCTTTTCTTTTTTTTTTCTTATTTTGTTGTGTTGTGCTGTATCATTATTAATTTTAGTTTAACTAAAGCTTGCTAATGTGGAACTATTTTTAATAGTAAAAATTATTTTGGATGAAGTTAAATTTGATTTCAAAATTGTTCTCATCTTGTATACATATTTTTATGAATAAAAAAGTCATGTATTGCATTTTAAATTTAATGAATTGAGTGAAGATATTTGGGCTTTACTTGATTGCCTCACTTCTTGCTTTGGTTTCTTTCAAAGCTCCTTTTTATCTCCCTTTCTTCTCTTTCTCTCTCCTAATGGTTTTGGCTTTTAAGTGTTCATTTCCTTTCTCTTTCTTTCCTTGAACCATTTTGTTTCATGTGGCAGTAACAATCACAACACCTCATCTACAATCTATTACCCACCTCTTATCCATTCCTTAACTAGTTTCTTGCATCAAATAGCTTTTGGACACATCAACGTCTTTTACCCCCACTTCTCTTCAATTTCATGTTATAGCTTGCTAACTTCATCCTCATGTTGAGATGGCACATTTACGATCCAACATGACACCTCTCTCCTAGCTAACTGCTATGCTTACCTTAAGTATTGATTTTTTCTTTAAGTGATGAAATCTAACTCTAGATCACAATCACTCATGCAAATGGGAAGTTGTTCAGGTAATCAACAACTTAATAGTGAAAGCCCTCATTTTATCTTTTCCTTCATCTATTATCGCTCATTAGTTCATCGTTGGAACTCGCCTAAGCTCTCCATCGCATCACGGTTACATGATTGCAATTATGGCAAACTAGCAGATGAGGCTACAATGGATCAATCGATCGCATATCACAACTATCTTGAACTCGCAACCATCATTGTCTTCCTCTACGCCACTAAAACATTGACCTATTATACAAGATTACTCATCTACTCCCCGGTCTTACTGCTGCCTATGTTGATTCCACAACCAATGAATTCTTTTGCATCCCATCTTAATTATCGTTGTCCTTTGCAGGAAGCTTATTATCTTCATCTCCAATGCACTTGTTGTTATAATTACCTTATTTGGCCTCATCGCATTAGCAATTTCCTTTTTTATTCTCACCCACTCAATTGCATTTCTTGCACACTCTGCATCGCTATCCTTTCTTCTCATCTTGCCTAAACCGGTTGCTTACCATTTATGCATTTGATGCAACGATGTTTCCCCCCACATGGCTTCAACCAACATACCCCAAACAACTAATCTAACCATAAAACCCATTGAAAAAAGGCAAGTTCAATCAGACAATAACTTAGTTGCGATAGGTCAATCTAGCAATGTACGTGAAGACTTCCAAGCTTCTATCTATCCAATTTTTTATAATGTTTTTGAGGATTTATGATAGTCTTATATTTTCATTAATGATATAGTAGTATTATTTATTTTCTTTCTCATTGGGATAGAATTCCCATTTGTCATCTTTCTACAAAATGAACTTATCTTTTATTTTTCTTCATTAGGATGGATAGAGCTGACTCTGCAGGATAGTTGATATTGTTGAGTTCTTTGTCAAGTAATATTTCAACTCTCTAAAGTAGAGTTCTTGAAAGCCCAAAAAAATTCATATAGCATAATAAATTATATTATTTTTATATTTTAAGAATTAATTCATTTAAATTGAGTTTTGGGATAAATTTTTTTTAGGGATAATTTTATGTTTAAATTTTAATAGTTTGAATATTTTTAGGCTTGATTTATTTATTTATTTTTTCTTGTAACTCTATTCCTATGAAAAAGAACATCATGCTTGTATTTTGGGATCATGTAGTTGAATAAAAATGTTTGCAATCTTTTGAAAACAACTCTCTTCTCTCCCCCTTCTATCTTATATCTCTCTCGCTCTCTCTACTCTTTAGTTTTTAGGACCCTCCTTTTATTGCTATTTTCCTTTTTCTTCTTCTTTCGATGCTTCACTTTGTTTTATTAACTAGTTGGGATCCACAACCTAAGTATGTAATTAGTTGGTAATTATAAGTACATTAATTTGTTAGCTTCAAATAACATTACATTCTATAAATAATCTCATTTAGGGAGGATGATATGTAAAATAAATGAATAAACTTTTTTTTTTCTTTCATCTCATTTTATTTTTCTTCATTTTTTAAGGTGTTTGTATATCTTAAAAAAATTCAAATTCAAACGAGGTTCTATTAGAGGCGTTTTCATTGAGATGATATTCTCATAAATTTTATGAATTTGTAACTTAAGATTGTAATTAGCAAGTATTTAAAAGTAGATTAATTAAATAATAATGAATAAAATTTTCTCTACATATATCTTAAGTTTCGTTTTCTTCTTTTTTGGGAGTTTGGAGCAACTTGAAATATTCATCTGAGATGATGTTCTCATCAACGGTGCTTTCATCGATCTCACTACTCTACCAATTCTAGAAATTCACCTTTCGATATTAAAATACAATTTTTACCATCCATGTTTAATCGAACCTCTATCTTCCCTACGCACATACTATCATTGTAGTACTTTGTCGAGTACAATCATGTCGATGACTCATCCACCGGTCAATTTCACCTTTGTCAGTTCTTTAGTCTTAGTCATGTATGAAGACATCACTACTCTGTTAAGATTCTACAAACATCCGCACTCATTCGAGTTTTTTACAATTACATTTGCCCCAACCCACACCATTGATGCCATTACTCGAGAAACTTGTAGCCAAAAAAATGTACTTAATCATTGCCATCTCTTGATTTACCAATATCTTGTGCACAATGCTTCCATACTTCAACATCTAAGATTGTCAACCAATTCAGTGTAGATTTGTAGTCCACGCACAGATCGCCAGACAATCTCAACTTTACCTTAGGCTTTGCAGTTTCCCCAAGCCATCATCAATCTTATCATCAAGATCCGCTCCTTTGCCTAATAATGATACTGGTTTTTGATGGCGAGGACTTGTCAAGGTAACTACATCGCCACGATCATAGGCACAAATAACTTTCAATACACATTGTTGTCCACACTTTCTTTGTGCCAGAACCATTGTTTGATCGGATAGCGAACAATTTTTTTCAAGCAAGAAGTCCTAAAATATTTTTGTCATTTTCTTGAGATCAGTGAATTTGCTTTTGTAGATCAACCTTTACATAGTATGTATCACTTTTTGCGAATCCGTTTGCTGAAAAGACAGTTGGATGGGCAAGATTGATAAACTAGAATCTTAGTTGGAGGTATAAACACCACCTTCTTGGTTACCAAAAGCGATGAATTGAAGGAGTTCCTCAAGTGCCCACCGGTCTACATTTTCTTTAACTGCCAAATAATTCATTTCATTTCTCATATTTCTGTGCAATTCATTGTTCGATCTTGGGGCATGGTTGTTGTGAGACGAGTAATATTGTGAATCCGTAGCATAAGATTTTATATAGTGTCATTGAAAGTAGATTAATTAAAAGTTATTTAACTTGAGATATCACTTTATTCTCCCCATTTAGAGAGGATAACACTTGAAATGAATGAATAAGATTTTCCCTTTTTTATCTCTTCTTTTTTTCTTCTTGCTTTAGGAGTTTAAATAGCTCCATATGTCAAGATATGATGAGAACCAAAGTTTGCAACTTGTAGTTAACTGCATGTTCTAATAAGCACTAAAGGCCTGGGCTTGTTCTTAACTCTGATTTTATTTTTTATATGTTTTTCTTTTGTAATTATGCAGATTCGAAATGAAAAGGCTAAAAGATATCTTAATAGCATGTGCAAAAAAGTCCCAGTTCCCTTCTCTAAGAAGTTCCGCAATGTAAATCCTTTGGCGCTTTCTTTACTTCAACGTTTGCTTGCTTTTGATCCTAAAGATCGTCCTAGTGCTGAAGAGGTGCTGTATAAGGCTAATTTGCTTTAAATTTAAAGTACTTTGAATGTTAAATCAATTCCTTTGTATAGGAAATATATGGTTTCAGTAAATATAAGGTGATACTTGATATTCTTTTATGTCAGGCACTATCAGATCCATATTTCTATGGATTGGCAAATGTAGAGCGGGAACCTTCAACCCAGCCAATTTCAAAACTAGAATTTGAGTTTGAAAGGAGGAAATTGACTAAAGAAGATGTACGAGAATTAATCTATCGAGAGGTAAAAGAGTAGGACATTGGTTATCTTATTATAATATTTTGACTCCTAATCATTGCACATTTCAGCATGAGTAATTTCTAATAAGGCTAACAGATTCTAGAGTATCATCCTCAAATGCTTAAAGAGTATCTTCGTGGAGGAGAGCAGACTAGCTTTATGTACCCAAGGTAACATCATTCACTGGTTACTATGAATATTCAAGATGACGAGTTTTTAGCTAGCATGAAATGTAATATATGTAGACATTTTCTTCCATTCAACCATCTAATCCTTTACTGAAAAAAAATAAAAAAATCCATTAGTTCCTCTAATGCATATAAATCTTATATTTGATGAATTCTAATCTCATCTTGAACATTTTTAGCCAAGCTAATTACACATCATAATTAATCCATTTATAACTACTAAATTAATCATAAGTAAATTCACATCAACAATTTCCTCTCATAACTATCTTACACTTTGTTGATGTGGGAGCACCTAGGCCCGGACCCGTGTGGGCACAACAATTGCCACACAAGCTCAACTCGATCTGTGAAATCGGGATCGGGCAGACCTCCTTAGCGCACATGTCCCTCCTATTTGGAGCCGGGCCCACTCTTTACCCCAAGACTATATATATGTTTTTTTTTTTTTTGTGTTTTTGGTCAGATTTGATTTTTCAGATTTCTGTCATTAGTGTCTTCCTCTCTTGCTAGAGATGTATCCAAAGACGAGTGAGGCTCCAACTGTATCCTGCTCCGAGGTGGTCGTTATTTTCGGTCGCCATACGACTGGGTGTGGTTTAATTTAGTGTAATATAGTATTTAAAAATTAGGTATTTTAATTGTATTTTAATTTGAAGAATAATTTGAAGAAAATGAGGTTAAACTGATGTCATTGATTGCAACAGTTTGAATAATCGAGCTAATCAAGAGTAATGTACCGCCCTGAAAGATAATACACCATTTGATAATAAACTCTAAAAATAAATGACTTCCGTTTGATCTGCAAGTTTGTATGATGACCGACAGATTCCCCTATTCGATATGAGAGTCAAATAGGGTAAAGATAATCACATGATTTGATCGTGAGGCTCAATCAAATAAACTAAAAAAATGTATGATATATGTTTGGTCTGTGAAACTATTTTATTTTAAGCTGATAAGGTTTATATTAATTGAGTTCTTTTGAGTTTCCTATAAGGGCAAGCCTCTATAGTTAATTATATCTTAAGCAAATGGATCATTTAAGAAAACTCTCGATAAAAATTAGGAATCTTTTATTTTCATGAATTCAAAAGAAAGGGTTTTCAACAAACATGATTGTGAAATTTCTAATAGGAATTGGTTTAAAGATGAAAGATTTTGTTTTAAGAATCAAAGGAAGAAAAATAGAAGAGATTAAAGGTCTAGAATAAGTTTAGAATAAGTTCTTGGTAATCAAGTTCTTGGTAATCTCCAAACTATTCTAATGTTTGACTCAATTTAGGATGATATTAATTTAAGTTAACTCTTGTCAGTTTTATTAATTAGGGCTTAGATTTTTTAGATTTATATAATGATGATTTACACAAAAAACCTAGAAAAATAGAAGGTTTTACGTCGAGTGACTACCTCAGAATCCTAAAACAAGTTAGGACATGCTGCATATCGGGATTATGCAGAAACTTAACAAAAATAGAGGTTTCATGTCATAAAAGACAGCCTCAGAATCCTAAGGATTGTTATTTAAACTAAAGGAAGGTCTTGGATGAGCTGCCCACGAAGTCTGCTCCAAGTTCCTTGTTGAAGTGTCTTCAAGTCTTGAGATACTATGATCTTATTATTAAAAGTTTTATTTGTTTCAATAATTTCACAGTAAATTAATTAAAAGGTGGTGGAGGTATAGTTCAAACCTAAGCCAAAATTAAGTTCATTTAAGCTAAGTAAATCCCTAGTGTTATGATTTCTAGATTCTCCCTAATCTAAACAACTTTTATTTCTTCATTATTTGTCCTTAATACGTGCATTCTATTTTTGATAAAAGCAGTAAAATAACATGCATTGAGATACATAAAACAATAAATAGAGCAAATGAAGAAATAATATTTTATCAAATTTTTATTAAATTTTAATTATTTAATTAATGGTAACTCAGTCAAGATGTTTATGGCTCTGTCGTCCCGGGTTGTCGGGTGCCTTAGTTTACTTAGTCCAAGAGGTGGCTGCCCACAAAGACCGGAAGATTCTTGTCAACATCCACAGGCTGCATCGTCCAAAAAATCTTCGTAAACTACAACAAAATGGGTTAAAATTGTCTTATGTGATATTTGTAATTAAGATTTAATTGATCCTTGAGTTACTTTATCGATTTTAGGGTTGAAATGTTTTAAGTTGTTTACATTGTTTACATCTTGTTGTCGAATTTTAAGTGTTTAAATGTTTTATTTTAGTTATTTTTGTTCACCTGTTATTATTTATGTGATGTTGACAATTTTGAAACTGACTTAACCTCAAAGCCATGTTTTAAAGTTTTGTCGTGTTCAATTTAGTTTAAATTTAAGTTTTAATGTGTTTTATGTGAATTTTACCCATCTTAATTGATGTTCAAATTGAGGAGTTTAGGTTTAATTTAGATTCAATATTATACCTAAAAGATTCTCCTATGTTCAACTTGTGAGTTAGGTTCTAATCTAAGATTTAGGGTAGGATTAGCTTAAGACTAAGTTATGATTCATATTTGTTTTACCTAAAGATTAAGGTTGGATTAGGGTTAATTAACCTAAGGTTTATGTTAACTAATTCTATTAATTTAGGACTAACCTAAGATTTATGTTAACTAATCATATTGGTTTAGGGCTAACTAACCTAAGGTTTAAATTAACTAATCCTATTGGTTTAGGGCTAAATAACATAATGTTTAGTTTAATTAATCCTATTGGTTTTGGGCTAACTAACCTATGGTTTAAGTTAACTAATCCTATTGGTTTTGGGTTAACTAATTTAGGGTTTAGGCTAACTAATTCTATTTGTTTAGGGTTAACTAACCTAATTTTAGACTAACTAATCCTATTGGTTTAGGGTTAATTAACCTAGGGTTTAGGTTAACTAATCTTATTGGTTTAAGGCTAACTAACCTTAAGGTTTAAGCTAACTAATTCTATTGGTTTAGACTTATTGGTTTAGGGTTAACTAACCTATGGTTAACTAATCATATTGGTTTAGGGTTAATTAACCTAGGGTTTAGGTTAACTAATCTTATTGGTTTAAGGCTGCTTATTGGTCTAGGGCCAACTAACCTAGGGTTTAGGCTTAGCTAATCATATTGGGCTTATTGGTCTAGGGCTAACTAACCTAGGGTTTAGGCTTAGCTAATCATATTGGTTTAGAGCTAACTAACTTAAGGTTTAGGTTAACTAATCCTATTGGTTTAGGGTTAACTAACCTAAGGTTTATGTTAACTAATCCTATTGATTTAGGGTTAACTAACCTAGGGTTTAGGCTTAGCTAATCCTATCAGTTTAGTGTTAACTAACCTATAGTTTAAGCTAGCTAATCCTATTCGTTTAGGATGACTAATTCTAAGGTTTGGGCTTATGTACATTAGATTTGTTAGCTAAGTAATCCAACCACGAAGTTGGCTAATCAAGAATTGAGTTTAAATTGGGTTAATCCTAAGCGAAAGAATTCAGATCAGTCTCACTAATGTTAGGAGACCGACATGAACCCTAAATAGGCTATACCATGTTTAACTTGAGCTCAGGTTAGACTAACGTAACCTAACTCAAACCTACTCTCATAATTAGTAAATTATGATTATTACGATGGTTTTAAATATAGTTTTAAGGTGTCCAATATCTGTTTATAATCAAAGAATAAATTCAGGAGGGATTTGGTAATTCAACATTTTTTATTTTTTTTAATTATTTAAAATGACCCATTTCATTATAAAAAAGAACTCTCCCTACAAATAAATCAAGACGACTTGGAAAAATTAGACGGAAACAAACAAATTTGTTTCCAAGTCATTTAATATCTTTGTCAAATTTCATATTTTCCTACAAATAAATCAAGACGACTTGGAAAAATCAGACAAATTTGTTTCCAAGTCATTTAATATCTCTGTCAAATTTCATATTTTTCTCATTTATATTTTAATTTTTATGATTTAAATACTTCAGAACTTCAAAAATTAATTTAAAAATATTTAATTGATGAAAAATCGTGATTTTAACTTAAAAAAATTTTTCTCACTTTCCTGAGTTCATAACATCTTTCAGTTTATTTTTTCGAGTTTTCTACAAAAGATTATGTAATTTTGAAGTTTGGTTATAATTTCTTGAATAAAATTAAAAAAAAGAAATTGCTATAGTATCTCCTCCTCCCTCACGCGACCCTCGCGACGCCGGAACCTACGACGAACGCATGGAGGAGAACCGATGGCTGAAACTTCTCGGAGTCCGTTCTCCGCCGATTCGCAACCAAATTTTGCTTTCTTGGGCTCGTTTTGTTCAGCTCGAAGAGTAGATCATATCCATACGGATACTTGTGTGCTTTGTAATCTATTTTTTGATCTGGAAGGAAGGATAGTTCAGGATTATCGTTTTGATTTAAGACATATACTTGAGCTTAAGAGGTTTGTCCTCAATTAAGTTTGAATAATAAGGCTTCCTTGAGCGTCTCCAAGTCCTTGTGGCGTTGAAATGACTTGATTTTCACGTTGGGTTGGAGGTTCGTCGGAGTTGACTCGGCTTCGCTTGGAGGAGGCGTTAGCAGCCGTGGGAAATATGAAAAATGATTGTTTTGATCTCCTAAAGACCTAAGGAAGTTAATGTAACAATATTGGCGAGTTTTGAAAGAGTTTTTTTTTGTGCAAAATCGCAAGGTGACTGTGAGCCTCAAATGGTTTTTCCGGCGGCGGCGGTGGGGGTGGTTGTGTTCCTTAGGTCAAGGAGCACAACTTTGCTTAAGGGTGCAGGTGAGTTTGATGACTCTATGGAAAGGTGGGTCTCTCCCCTCTCTTTCTCTTCCATTTGGGTTTTAAGCTTTTCATGAGCATGGGGGAGGAGAATTGATGTGGAAAGGGGGCTGAGGTAGAAGGATTTTGTTGGCTTAGGGTGGAGGTGAAGCCATAGGTCAGTCAGGGATAGAGTAGCTACTCTTTTGGCTTTATATAGCTAGCATGTCCAATCAAATTTAATAGGTGG